TTGTAATAAGTTCCGAAAAAAACAATGTGTGAGACAATATTGTGAAAAGTTTTTTATGTTCTATTTGAAAATGAACCAGTTTTTATCTAGAAGATTAACCTCTTCTGTCAAAATCAAAAACATTTCCAAGTAGAAGATTTCAATTTTCTATATTTGTATTTCTTATTTTGATGGAAATATTATTATGTACTTAACTTATATTCATTATTAATGAATTGTTAAATTTTTTGAACAAATGACAATTAAATATTCAATTTATTTCAGATCAATATAAGATCTTAGACTAATTTCTGAGAAAAATAACATGTTAGATATCTAAAATTTAGCGTGAAGAAATTATTCATATAGCGTATTATGTATCCATCTCACATGTTTATGTTTCTTCTAATAAATAAATAAAATCCATATAGACCCTTAAATTTTTTTAAGAAAATACATTCATCTGGGTGAATCAATTTGGAATTAAACAATATAGGAGCATACAAGGGTTTCAACTTTGAGAGAATGGTGACCAAAATAATAATAATAATAATGAAAAAATGAAAAGATGAGCTAATTAGGTGTGGTCTAGTTGATCTTCTAATTTATGTGATAAATGAGAAGTCTCGAATTTGAATTTTATCGATCATAATAATTTTCACTAATTTGATGAGCCAATATAATTTCTTGAGTGTTATATCGAATAATTAAGCCTTTTTTATAAATAATAATAAAAAAAAGATTTATGGCAATAGCGGTGAATAAATTGGTTGGGTACCTTGCTTGCAAAAAGAGTCCCTGTCGCTTTACTACACCATTTATTGTCACCCTTGTTAAGTAACCCAGAGCTGAAAGCTGCCGCTACACGAGACCCATATGTTAGTCGGTGCACTTCCTTTTTCATTTAAACTAAAATTCACTTCTCGTTAGTCTTTCTTATACATGAAGAAACAGTTAACTTAAACAACAATTACACCCATCCAAACAATTCTCACAGATTTTTTTATTTTCAACTTTCTTTAGGCTCCCAACTTGTTCTTATCAATTTGTAGTGCGTAAAAATTTTCTGTTCATAGTAATTTTAGATTCTCGCGTAATTTTTATTGAATTGTTTGAAATTTTACATAATATTGAATTTATTTTTAGTTGTTCTGTGGAAATTATAAAAGAAAATTATAATGTTTATTTATTTTATCAAAAAAGAAAAGAAAAATCATCTTATAAATCAAGACTTTCACATCTTTAAAACAGAAAAGAAAAGAGAAAATTCATACTCCATATCAAAAGTTGATCTCTCCTATATATGAAAATTATTATGATAACAGCTTTTCTTAGTATAAGGCTTTACAAAATAGACTAATGATAAAAGCATGATTACATATTTGCTTTAACTAATAATGTCCTTTTTGCATGAAATTGGCAAATTGAATGAATAGGAAAAAAGGAAGATTCTTGTTTGAAGAGAGAGTGATATCAATTCCCAAATGCATAGATTTGTCCATTAAGCTTATGCAATTTGTCTTGTAGGATTCACAAATTTGCGGAACTTATCATGGTCTACATTTTTATATTTCAATAATAACTATGTCTTTTATTGAAATAAAATAATTTTGCAAGAGATTAATAATGACCCTGCACTTTTAAATTTTATTTTGACGAAGGATATAGTTATTACTGAAATATAAAAATATAGTCTCATAATAGATTTTTACAAATTTGAGAATGTCACAAAACAAATTATGTAAACTTTAGAGACAAACGTATGCATTAAGCCTGAATATCAATGGATGTAAGGAAGAAATAATCATTCTATGGTCACATACATAAAATCAAATGCTAATAGAAAAACAAGTAAGGACTAACGACAGATCGTCTACTCTAAGGACCCACTTCATTGCTTTACCTTAAACTTTCACAGATTTGCTAAATCACAAGGGGGCAAAAATAAATAGATATTTACGTTAATAAAGAACCTTATTGGGGGCAAAAGTTTCTTTTGTTTTTTCTCTTAATTATTTTTTTATTTAAAAAAAAATAAAAATATTAAATTGCATAATCCACAGGATGGCCCATTTGATTTGAAGTATGATTTTTAACTGGAGTAGACAGGGAGTAGCATGAAAGAGGTTAATTTAAAATCTGCCATACTATTTTAATTATAATTTTTTTATAAGGTATTTTAAGATGTATATATATATATATATATACATAGGCTAATAATTCAGCAATTTATAATTATTTATCCTATAATACAAAAAAATTAGAAATTCAAATCTTAAGAACTATATATTCTTTCCATCCTGATTATATAAATAATTTTTATAAAAAAATTATAGAATTCATAATTTTCTATCTTTTGGTATGTTAAAAAAAATATTTATTTAATTCCATGGATTTAATTAATTGATTAGGATTAAACTAATTTCCACTAAAATTGATGAAATTTCAAATTTTACAATTAAAATTTTCGATCACAATACTCATCTTCGCCCCAACCCCATATCTCTTTATCTTTTTCTCTCTTTCTTATCCATCCTTTTCTTCTTCTCACTTTCTTTTTTTTTCTTTATTCTATCTCTATTTTTCTTTAAGGGCATTTTAAATAATTTTTTTAATCTAAACACGAACAAAACGACATGATTTAAAATTTTATTAAAATAAATGCTAAATATATTTTAAACACAAAACACATGGAGTTCAATAATTTCACATTTTAAATAATTTAAATAATTATTTATAAATGAATTTCACGTTTTTTATGAATTCTTAATTTCATATGAATTAAAATATAAATAATTTAATTGAGTTTATTGTCAAGGTAACAAAATCACGTATCATAAACATAACAATATATATAAGTGTAATTTGCAAAAATACTTTTAGGAGTCAACATTCAATAGCTTTAATTCAAATTAAAGCAAACCAATATAAACAATAATAAATAAAATATTTTATTAGAAAAATCAAACCAAGTTAATTTATTTTAAAAACTCAATCAAACTAAACCAACTCAAATCAGTTTGGTTTCTTGTTTTTAACTTAATTTTTTATTTGAATCAATTTAATTTTTTTAAAAATTTTTAAGTTTTTCAATTTTGTATAATAAAAATCAAACCAACTAAAATGATTCTAATTTTTTCTATTAAAATTTAAAATTAAATATATCCTAACTTAGGATCTATACAAGTCTCGATTTCTCTTATGATATTTTAAATACTGTATTATGCGTAGATGCTACAATTTATAATACATTTTTTAATCTAAAATTAATTTAGATATAATATTAAATCTCCTTTTGAAACAAAGTCAATAAAATATTGTGCATCTAAGGATTAGTTATTAGGAATTGACCTTAACAAATGAAGTGAGCTACGAAGTTTCTTACTAACAGAAACAGCCTTGATGATAACACAAAATGTTCTTAAAACAAACAACTGGAGAAGTTAATTGTATTTGTGGATGGTGATAAGCTTGCTAGTCCTCCATGCTTTATAATGAATAAGAAAGCTTGGAACAACCCATTCCTTATCGTTTCTTTGCTGAGGACCCATATGCCATATGCCATATGCAGTTTCTCTTTTATTTTAATGGAACCTCAAGCTCTATTATAGAAGAAAATTAATGATTGTGTCCCATGGTCCATTTCACCGGCCTTCCATTTATAAATGCAAACATTGGTTCCCATGCCAAGCAGGCAGTCCATCACACACCACACACCCACGCTCTTGCTGGCCAGTGGCTAGTGGCCGTAGCCCCGAGCACCATGTGGTATCTGCCAATTCCCTTTTAACAAAGAAAGATACACTATAATTTATAGGTGCCCAAATTATTTAGAATCACAAGAGGTAATTTTTATTTTTTAATAAATTTTATTAAATTGATAAAAAGTTAAATAGATAATGAGAATTTAAAAAACTTCAAATTCTTCACACTGAAAGCTAATCCGACAACACCTGATACATAATGATACTAATCAATTATCATAGCAAGAACCACCATTTTTGCAAGCTAACAAAAATTTATTCAAGTAATGGATGGTCATATTTGTAGATCTCATTCAATTTGGCCCCTTTTCTATATTGTGAACTGTTATACTGCTTAGTCACTAGGAGGCAAGAGAGGGCCTGCTGCCCAAATAGTTTTACACTATTAGGTCTTTTTGTCCAACTTTTATATCTTTTCCGTTAAGTTAACAAAAAAACGCAAAGGTCAAGGGAAAGATACTAAAATATTATACCAGAAAAATTACAATGCAATCCCTATGTTTGAAAAATACAACTAGTGTTGGGATATCCTCCCAAGTCCCACATCGGTTGGATATCCTCCCAGAGCCCACAATCGGAAAAATGTGAGAAGAGGAACCAAATATAATGGTTCAAACCCAACCCATAAGATGAGGCCTTTTGGGGAGATGCCCCAAAATAAATCCGTGAGAGCTTACTTAAAACGGACAAACCAAGTCCCACATCGGAAAAATGTGAGAAGAGGAACCAAAATATAATGGTTCAAACCCAACCCATTAGTATGAGGCCTTTTGGGAGATGCCCAAAAATAAATCCGTGAGAGCTTAGCTTAAAGCGGACAATATCATATTAATCTGGGGTTGGATGAGGATATGCGCGGTCCCAACAACTAGTCTATCCCTGCCTTTTTTAAAATAAAAGGGATATTTTTGTTATTTCATAAGATACTTAACGGAAATGATGCAAAAATTTGACAAAAAGACCTTATAGTCTGACGAAAATAAACTATGAAGAAATCATAGTATATTTTTTAAAAGATAGGTATGGATTAATTGTATTTCGCAAATCACAGGGATTTTACTATAATTTTCCTTTATTATTATTATTGATTATTGATTTTTTTGAGTATCAGGAGAATGAGATTCGAATATGAATCGATTGCACTTACCACTGGGCTATGCCTTATGTGCCATTATTGATTATTGATAATATTTAAAAAGTGAAGCATGAAATTATCATTTTACAAATATATTCTGCTCCTATAAATTATCACTTTTCCATCAAATTACATGCTAATAAAACATTAATTTATACCTGGTCTCCTTCCATTTGATCCTCAAAGATTTTCACCAGTTCAATTGTTGTTACCTGAGCACCAAAATCAACTCTAGAAGGCTGTAATGGTGAAAATAAAGCCTGCTTAATATTGCATAAAATTCCCTTGTTAAATGGATTCCCAGAACCCATATAGCATTTCCGGAAATTCTCATATGCTGTCTGCAATTTCAAAAACAGAAAGCATTGGAAACAATCACCCTTTTCTATACAGAAAATAAAAAATCTAACCAACGAAACAGAACTAACCTGATTTATTGCAATTAAGTAAACATGGAAGATAACAAGACCACACAAGAACCAAATAGCAGCAAAACTGAACAAAACCAATGCCATTGTCTCTGGATAATTCATCATCATTCCAATCAATCCGTTGCCATTTCGCGACATTCTTTGTTGAATTCTCCAGACAGTGAATACAAATATGTACACAAAGAAATTCAAGGCCGAGATCACAAATGTCATGTAGAATATGTAATTTCTCTGCACAGACACAAAATTGGGTTTACCATCCTCAAATTAAAACAACAATAACAACAACAGCTAAGCCTTAATCCCAAACTAGTCGGTTTGGTTAAATAATGCACACACATAAATATAACATGATACCTACCAATGCAATACATTGGCCAACCCATGGACAGTGGTGGTCAAATTTCTCGACACAATTGTTGCAAATAACACAGTGAGAACTCCTTGGAGGCCTATAAATTTTGCAAATATGACAGTATTTTAGTTTCAATTCGATGCCATTGATTGTTACCCTCTTCCTTCTGGTTCCCCCATTGCTCGAACCAATTTCTTCTGAAAGTGTTCTATGATTTCTAGGAATAATTCCTGGATCAGTTGTACTCACTAGAAACAAGTTCAGTAGAACCTGCATTTCATTAAACACAATTCTGAAAATGAAAATGGAATACAATTGGCCAAACAATTATAATAATTAGACGAGGTCTAATACTAACAGTTAGTGTCAGAACCAAAGATATGATCACTAACAGACTAGAATGAACTGGTAAATCATCTTCTGTGTACATGGCAAAAATCCAACTAGAGACTATTATTGAAACAATTGTCAGCAATAACCCTTTAGGATCCGGTCCGCATACAAGCCTTCCATGGAAAAAAAATACCTAAAAGATCGGCAAGAAAAGTTAGCATTATAAGCAAAATTGGAGAACAATCCAATAGAAATTATAGATGAAAATTGTTACATTATTCCCTGGCCAAACTTGGTAAACCCTAGTTTGGTCCGACTTGGCAGCAAGGCAATATTGTTTTAGCCATTGATCCGCAACAAAGTTCACGATTACGTTGAATTTCTCCCTTATTGTAATCAAAATGTTTCCCAATTTTGCATTTTTCCCATGAGATATATTTTCTTTTCTGTCATTGTTTAACACATCATTAGCTAGTTCTTCCATTGATGGACTTGAAAGAGCAATTGCTTCCATTTCAATATCATCTTCTCGCGATTTAACGGATTCCATTGTTTTTGGCTCCAACTTTTTTTTTTGGTTGACACTTCTTGATTGAAACGGATTAACTGAATTTTGAAAACCGAAAGGCGGTTTCCTGCACATGAGAATAGAATATGGGCCCATGAAAAGTTTTTTAAGTCCATAAAAGCATATAAAAGGCCTTAATGATAAGCATAATTGGGCTTTAGCTCAATAATCGTCGGACCGACCTCCACTTCCGTCTCCGCCTCCTTAAACCTCTCCACTTTCCGGCCAGAAGAGGAAAAACAGAAACAGGAAAAAAAAGAAGAGACAAGAATGCAACACAGAGACAAGATCAGAATCGCAGTCGCTGTAGTTTCTCTAACAGCACTCTCAATCCTTTTCATAGAACTGTATCGTAGACGCCGAAAGCAAAAGAGCCGTCCCAGTTTATGCTATTTACAATCGGACCAGAAGCCGCAGTTCGGCTTCAAGCGCGTTTTAGCTGATAACTCTTTTTCTGAGTTCAAGCACTTAAAGCTCCATAACTCCTCTAACGGTACAAATTTTAAATTTTTTGCTCTCTGTTTGGTTTCAATGAAAGATTAATTATAGAAAATCAGAAAATGACCAAATTACAGAACTTTAATTAAGTAGCAACCAAACACGGTATTGTTTTATTTAATATTCAAACTTTGAGTTTTTTTATTTTTGATGTTCTGGCAGATAATTCTTCAAATTTGCATCCTTATGAAAGGGAGATCACAGCTTTGATAGAGAATTACAGATTTGAATTTGATATATATAGCAACATGAAGTTGAAGGAAATGGATAATGTATATGTTTGGATTGAGACAGAGTCTCAGTTAAAGGAGTTAGCAGACTTTTTGAGTAAAGAGAAGGTTTTTGCTGTTGATACCGAGCAGCACAGCTTGCGGTCATTTCTAGGCTTCACTGCTTTAGTTCAGGTTATAAGCATTTTAACTCTGTCTTACTTACATTGTGTGAATTCTAATGTATTTTTGTACTTTTGTACATTTGATCATATTTTTTTTTTTTTACAAATTTTGCATGAGCAGATTTCCACCCAGGAGGAGGATTATTTGGTGGATACGATTGCATTACATGATGCAATGGGAATTCTCAGACCGGTTTTTGCTGATCCTAGTATTTGCAAGGTAAAGTAATTAAGCGGTTGAATTAATGTGTTTTATTGCTAAGGAAAATATTTAGTACAGGTTTTATTTCAATGGAAGTTTTGTTTTTGGTTATTGATGGAAAATTTTGTGGTCTAGGTGTTCCATGGAGCTGATAATGATGTTCTTTGGCTACAAAGAGACTTTCATATTTATGTTGTTAATTTATTTGATACTGCAAAGGTGAGATTTACATGAGAATAGGTTAAATGTCAATTACTGCTTGCCATCATTATGTTGATCAATTGTGGTCAGAAGAATCAGTTTAAATTATAAAATGGACAGATGCTATGATTCCATATTATATGGTTCTTAATTTGTTCATGCTCTAATATTGCAGGCATGTGAGGTGCTGTCAAAACCACAGAAATCACTAGCATACTTGCTTGAAACTTACTGTGGCGTATCTACAAATAAATTACTACAGGTTAGGGATTGAGAATGTCAGTGTTTGTGCATCTTCTTGCATCGGATGAAGCTTGTCAGCTATCTTTCTGATAGAATTCTGTTTCTTTTTCTCTGTTTGAAATCTTTGTTTATAAATTCAAAAAATTTATCATTTGTATAACATTGCCTAAACAAAACCATGAATATGACATTCTTACGTTGAATTGTAGCGTGAAGACTGGAGGCAACGTCCTTTATCTGCAGAGATGTTACAATACGCTCGAACAGATGCACATTATCTATTGTATATTGCGGGTTGTTTAATTGCTGAGCTCAAACAAGACAATGGTATGTTTTTATTTGGTGTTCATGTTTTGTCCACCTTTGCTTTTATCTTGATTATGCTGTTATAGATGTTCAATAAAAATGAAAAGATTGTGTCACTGAAGCAATACTCAAAACAATAAGTCTTAGCATTATGCCTCTTGAAAAGGAGATGAAAAGAAAGAACTAGCTCAAATCAAAAGCAACATATTTATTCTTTGCATTTCATTTATGAATTACACATAATTTTATGTAAATAACCATTCAACACATATATGAAGTGTTATAGCATCAAGGGGCTAAACATATTAATGTACCAGAAAATCCATCTCATCCAGACGGCAGTTTAAATTCTATTGTTGAGGTTTGTCGCCGCTCAAATATGATTTGTCTACAACTCTACAATAAAGAGGTTGAAGATTTTCCTGGAGAATCTGCAGCATCATCAATTTGTTTTCGTCATTTGAATGGTCAAGGAGGTTCATCGGTTTCATGTGAGATGCAGGTGCACTACGCTGCACATCTTTATTAAATCTGGCCATTTCAAGTAACCTCCATATGCATTACTAACATTGCAGTGTTCATTTCAGGGTCTTGTGAGACGCTTGTGCACATGGCGAGATTTAATGGTTAGTGATAACTTTCTCAGTAATTTTGCTGTATGATGTAGAATAGCTTCATTACCTTATAAGATTGGGGGGAGTTTATTCCACACCTCATTAACATATTTTCTATTTTTCAGCTTTATTTTTTTAATAGGCAATTAATGTAGAATTATCTATTAGAGAAAGTGACTTCCTGTTTGATTTATAATTAACTAGTACACCCTTCACAGAAATTAACCTGCCAATGCATCAGTGTAGCACCTGCTTACATGTGGCATATTGTTTAATCCTCCAAATGAAAATCTTCAAGGATACTGGATTTTCTTGTTTTCTTGGCTTAGCTTAAGTATCACTGATGGTATGATCAAAAAAGAATCTCCTCTATGATTTTCTGCATCATAATATAGAAGTATTTTCAACAGAATGTTTTGTCACAGTTTGACCATGCTTTTGCTCATGGCACTACCATGCAGGAAGCAAAGGATGCAAATCTCATTTTGAGGATCATAATTGCTAGTGTGGACCCTCTTATAAGTAATTTTCTTGGTCTTGTGGTTATCCGTGCCTAGTTCAATTAATTCCTAAAAATGACAATAGAATCATTGTGTCCCAAATTGGTATATGCAGTTATATCTTAGTAGTTAAATTACCTATTATCTGGCATGTAGCCGGGGTATCAAGTGGCCTGTCAAACTGAAGATGACTTCCATACCCTACCCTTAAATTGCTATATTAATTAGTTACATGAGTCAATTTTTAGGATGATATTTTTCCTATGCAACTTGGTAGCTCTCAGTTTTTCTCCCCCAGTTGCTGGTAACTGTCATGTTAGATACTTACTTTTGTCTCTAAAGAGAAGATGCCATTTACTCTCCCAAATTGCAGTTTATTCTTTGGAACATATTTCTTTCTATTTCAATGAGATGGACAGTGCATTTTGATTGTCTAATATAACCGTGTGGTTTACATTTCCTTCAGGCTCGTGTACACGATGAGAGTTTAAGATATGTATTATCAGACCAGGCTATCGTCTCCCTTGCAGACAAGTTTCCAACAAATCCAAAAGAAATATATGATACCATATCTCAAGCCGATATGAATCTCAATCCCGTGAATTTTAATTTTTCTGTATCATCTCCATCCCCTGTTGTTTGCAGTCATTTGGATGATTTTTGCTTCTTGATCCAGGACAAGGGAAACAACCCTGATGATATGTTCTCAGCACTTCTTCAAAAATGCCTTGGTCAGAAAGGGAGTTGTCCGTTGTCTGCTTATAATTATGCATTATTGGTTACTCGTGGCCTGAGACAAAAAAATAGTTCAGTTTCCAAGAAAAATGGGTTTAAAAATTCTAAACAGGTTGCTAGGAAGGCCTCACGAGACCTGTTTGTTCAGAAGTTCTCATGCAAAGCTCCAGTGTATCATAACTGTAGGATCTATGCAAATGATGGTCGATTGCTTTGTTACTGTGATCGTAGAAAGCTTGAATGGTTAGTGAATTAACATGTTTTTACTCTTTTTATCAATTAGAAATTGGCTGCACTTAATAAGGTCAGGTTATTGTTTTACAGGTACCTTCAACGGGAGCTGGCAAAACTCATTGAAGATGAACCCCCTGCCATAATGCTACTTTTTGAACCAAAGGGTCGCCCAGAAGATGAAGGCAATGGTTTTTACATTCAAAGTAAGAAAAATATATGTGTTGGATGTGGTGAAGGAAATCATTACTTGCGATATCGAATAATTCCTTCATGCTACAGAATGCACTTCCCTGAGCATTTGAAAAGCCATCGTTCTCATGATATAGTCCTCCTCTGTGTGGACTGCCATGAAATTGCTCATGCTGCTGCTGAGAAACACAAGAGAAAAGTAGTTGCGGAATTTGGAATTCCGTTGTTTGTTCGTAAAGTAGTTGATTCCAAAGAAGCCCCTGTCATACCTGATCCATCTTCTTCGGTGATGAACGATGAGGAGGCGGGGGTATCTCCCTTACAGTTGCGTATAGCTGCTATGGCTCTTCTGCGCCACGGATCAAGAATGCCACTGGAGCGCCGAGAAGAACTGATGCAGGTCCATAGACATAGTAATCTTTCTATATTAAAAAATCCAAGTCTTGTTTATACTGATTATCCCCCTTTTTTTATAGTAATTGATTGTTGAATCAGTATTAGTACGTATTAATTGCAATTGTTGCTAAGCTGCAAGAAAGAGATCTTGAGGTATTTTGGATGCAGTAGATCCTTGGTAGGGCTGAATACAATTGTTAAAAGGCCATCATAGTTCCTTTATGTAACAGCCACATAGCTTGGCATCATACGTTACGGTATGGCGTATACCATTCTTTTCCACTGGCAATCTTTGGAGAAGATTTAATTTGTGAAACCCTCAAAAGCATTATTAGATGGAAATTATGTTGCCTGAGGATGAATGACACTTTCTGATAGGAATTACAGATGCCTAAAATTGTGAATTGACTATGATAATGCATTTGAAAACAAAATTTTAATCTTTTCTAGTTAGCAGTTTAGGCGTGCTGTGATTTGCACTAGAATTTTACAGCTCTTACGTGTGATACTATTAGTTAGGTGCCTTTGTGAATGGTTTGGAATCTGATATTTCCATGGCTTAGTTGGGACTTGGAAGATTGTATTTCGGTAGGTATTCTATTTGTCCATGTTTAATAGGCGTAGGCATAGGTACAGACACATTGTCTGTTTGCGTGTTCTATGATTGCAGGAGCTGATGCTAATGGTAAAGAAAAATATACATATGGTGCCATAAGAGTCATTTTGCTTAGTTTAGAAAAAAAATTCAGTGTTGTCAATCCAAACTATAATATTTCTGCTGCAACATAAGGACTCAATCTAGAGCCATTGAAAAGAAAAGCAGAATGTTTCATTGTAAGAATAGGTCTATGCTGATTCACAATGATTATTTTTTCTGTTAGTAACTATAGTACGAAGGTTAACTTATCTGATCTTTAGATGAGAATGATAACCTCTGTTAATATTGTCAATGTTGAACTAGCAGCGGTAGATATTCAGTTCCTCGTAAATTACTGCACATTTCATTGAGGATATAGGAAATCGTTAAGCAGTATTATTGCTTGATACATTGATGGAAACAAGCCCAGGCCCTTTAAAGTTTACTCAAGGAGGCCAAAGGCTGCTGCTTGTTTGGTTAGTGATCCAAGAAATCAGAGGAATGATTCAAGGAATGAAAACGGGACACCTGTCACAGTCAGTTATGGTAGGAGTACCAACACAGCATAAAAAGGGAGGCCCTTTAAAGTTATTACAGGCCCTTTAAAGTTTACTCAAGGAGGCCAAAGGCTGCTGCTTGTTTGGTTAGTGATCCAAGAAATCAGAGGAATGATTCAAGGAATGAAAACGGGACACCTGTCACAGTCAGTTATGGTAGGAGTACCAACACAGCATAAAAAGGGAAGCAAGGACAAGGCTGGGGGCATCTTTTTGGATAGAAGTTTCAAGCAGAGAATTCTGTTGGAGAGCTTTTGCTCTTGGCTTGGTTCTTTTGAATCAAGATTTCCTTTTATTTTGTTCTAAATTATTTTTTTTTTCTCCATTGTTGCTACTAAGATTGCTGTAACCACGATTCTGCTATTTGTGGATTTCATCTCACTATTAATACAAAATCTTCCTTTCATTCATACTTGTCTATAAATATTTATTTATTTTCAAGAGCTGGTTGTTCTTTCCTCTATCAATTTGGTCCGACCTGCCGGATCTCAATTTCATAGCCACAATGACAAACACAAGACAAGATTCACGATTTGAACAGATAGAGAACATTTCCACCATTGAAAATCATCTCACCACCCTTGACAAATCCCAAGCATCCTTCCACACAGAATATACCCAAAACCTTACATCCCTCACAAACCAACTGTCCTCACTCACAACCAAGTTTGACCAACTTGTATCCGCTCTCTCCACCGGCCGAACACAAACAGAATCTGGAGACTCCTCGTCTCCCAAACATACACCTTCCCATGCACAGCCCACACCGCCGATTACAACACCCATCATCACACCATCAAACACAACACCCACCTCTATTCCAGACCAGATTAAGAAGGTTGACATGCCTCTATTCAATGGGTCAGACCCGATAGGCTGGATTGCACGAGTAGAGCAGTATTTCGAGCTCCACCGAACGGAGCCAAACATGAAGATTCCGATGGCACTTGTGGCTATGGAGGGAGAAGCTCTTCATTGGCTTCGATGGGTTCGGCAACGCGACCCTACTTTTTCTTGGGAACAGTTAAAAGAAGAAGTAGTCACTCAGTTCAGCAGTGATGACTCTAACAACCCCTACGAGCTCCTTGCTGCCGTAAAACAGACCGGGTCAGTCCACTCTTTCATTGTAGAGTTCATCTCAAGAGCTACCCAAACCCCATCTCTCTCCGACCAGCAGCTCTTAGGTTACTTCCTCAACGGCCTCCGCTACGACATTCGTCTCCGCCTGCGTTCACCAGATACCATTGATCTGCGGCGTTTGATGCGAGTGGCAAAAGATATTGAAAGAGAAATTACCTTTTCTCCCACCAAACAGACCTTACCTACAACACATTTTGGGCTGGGCCCAAAACCTCCAAGCCCTAGTTACACCATTTGCCTCCTGCCCATAAACGTGACACACCTCCTTCCCTCAAACCACCAGATCCCTCTACACGTCCTTTAGCCCTTCCTGCACCACCCCCAAAACTTGCCACCCAAGTACACCAACCAAGACCCACCGGCCACTACTCCCACCAAGAATACAAAAGCCTCAGAGCCAAGGGCCTCTGTATTAAGTGCAAACAGCCCTCCTCTCCCCTTCATGAATGTCCCAATCGCGCCCTTCGTGCCTTAATTGCTAGTGAAGATGAAACCATGGTGGATGCGGGTCAAATGGCCGAATTAGAAGCCACAGTTGAGACCGAATCTCCCGTCACCTGGGATGAAGCTCACTTCTCCAATATAGAGCTTTCTCTCAACTCGATTGGTGGGATTTCAAAGTCTAAAACCATGAAACTCAAAGGCATTTTTTCTTCTATGGAGGTCGTGATTATGGTCGATAGTGGAGCAACCCACAACTTCATCTCCTCCCAACTAAGCATTGAACTCAGACTTCCAATCACCACCACTCCGGTATATTACGTACATCTCGGTAACGGTCATAGAATTGCAGCCTCGGGTATGTGTCGCCAGCTTCAGGTATGGGTCGGCTCCTATGAAATTGTGGGCGACTTCTTTATTTTTCCATTACATGGAGTTAATTTTGTTCTGGGCATAGCTTGGCTCGAAACCTTGGGTGATATACAGAGCAATTGGGCTAACATGACTATGGCATTTTGTCATGCGGGCCAGTCAATCTCTCTAGTCGGTGATCCGTCTCTTTTGCGTACTCCTCCTTCCATGAAGTCTATCTGCAAACTCTCGGATATAGACTACTCTGTTTTGCTTTGGGGAGTTGACACCGAAGTTTCCCCGTTACATGATTGTGCACTTTCATCCTCCCAAGAGTTGGCATTGCACAAGTTGCTTGAGCGTTACCAAAAGGTTTTCGAAGAAATTCAGTCCCTTCCACCACATAGACCGGATGATCATCAGATTACTCTCAAACCAGGGCAGGAACCGATTTCTGTTAAACCATACAGGTATGGCCACTTGCAGAAAGATGAAATTGAAAAACTTGTGTCTGAGATGTTATTTGCTGGAATTATACAACCTAGCCATAGTCCCTTCTCCAGCCCGTTTCTGCTAGTGCGCAAGAAGGATGGCAGTTGGCGTTTTTGCGTTGATTACCGTCAATTGAACAAAGCCACTATACCGAACAAGTACCCGATTCCTGTGGTTCAGGAATTGCTTGATGAACTTTACGGTGCCTGTTTTTTTACCAAACTAGATTTGAAGTCGGGATTGTTTCAAATCCGAGCATCAACACCTGACATTCACAAGACAGCTTTTCGGACTCACACAGGGCACTACGAGTTCTTGGTCATGCCCTTTGGGCTTATGAATGCTCCTGCCACTTTCCAAGCTGTTATGAATGACATATTCCGCCCTCACCTTCGCTGTATCATGTAGGTATTCTTTGACGATATACTTGTATATAGTAAGGACTGGGACGCTCATCTTCAACACTTATCCATAACTCTGCACCTTCTACAACAGCATCAGTTACATGTTAACCCAAAGAAGTGTTCCTTTGCCAAGTCATCAATGGAGTACTTGGGTCACATCATCTAAAGAGAGGGGGTTTCTATGGACCCGGCTAAGATTTCTAGTATTCTCCGGTGGCCTACCCCAAAGTCTGTAAAAGCTGTCCGGGGATTTTTAGGACTTACGGGGTATTACAGGAAGTTCATCCGCCATTACGGTCAACTAGCCCGGCCTCTCACTTCACTATTAAAGAAGGAATCACAACAACAGTTTTCTTGGAACTCACAGGCACAAAATTCCTTTAACTCATTGAAGCAAGCAGTCACTTCATCTCCTGTACTCGCTATGCCAGACTTCACAAAGCCTTTTGTTGTTGAGTGTGATGCATCCGGGACGGGGATAGGGGCTGTCCTACTGCAGCAAGGAAAACCCATCGCCTACTTTAGTAAAGGCACTCTTGATTCAGCTCCAAAGAGATCAGCCTATGACAATGAATTAATGGCCTTAGTCCTAGCTGTCCGCCATTGGAGGCCATACTTGATTCGCCGAGATTTCCTGGTGCGCACCGACCAACGAAGCCTAGGTCACTCGTTGTCCCAACAGGTAATCACCCCAGCTCAACAATATTGGATTTCCAAACTAATGGGCTACAATTTTCATATTGAATATAAGCCGGGTACCTCCAACAAGGTTGCCGACACGCTATCCCGGAAGGAGGACAACCATCATTTCCAAGCATTATCAAGTTCTATTTGGGCAGATTGGGAAGAGATCAACCGGGAAATTCAAGCTGATGGGGTACTACAACGGTTAGCCTCCTACTTGCAAAAGGATCCTACCAAGCACCCTCACTATGACCTCATCCATGGTCGCCTCTACTTCAAGGGTCGACTGGTACTCCCTGCCACTTCTAAATGGTTACAGCTGTTAATCACAGAGTTCCACTCGACTCCCTCCGGGGGTCATTCCGGTGCATATCGTACCTATCGCCGTATTGCCTCAAGTTTTTATTGGACGGGAATGATGAAGCAAATCCAGCAGTTCGTGGCTGCCTGTTTGGTTTGTCAGCGCCAGAAATACGAGGCTCAATCCCCAGCAGGTCTATTATAGCCACTGCCCATTCCTAATATGATCTGGGAGGAAATCGCCTTAGATTTTATCACCGGACTACCGCGATCGCATGGGGCTGATTGTATTTTAGTGGTAGTGGACAGATTATCTAAGTACGGTCACTTCTTGAAACTAAAGCATCCTTTCACTGCTAAACGGGTGGCTGAATTGTTCACTTCAAAAATTGTTCGCCTACATGGGTTTCCACGAGTTATGGTAAGTGATCGTGACCCACTCTTCCTAAGCAACTTTTGGAAAGAACTGTTCAAGCTCCAAGGCACCCAACTCAAGTTCTCATAAGCCTACCACCCCCAAACGGATGGGCAAACTGAGGTTCTAAACCGATGTGTTGAGTCCTACCTCCGCTGTTTCTACTCCGAGCAACCCAGGAGCTGGGCAAAATGGTTGGGATGGGCAGAGTATTGGTACAACATGAGCTTTCAAGGTGCAGCAAAGAAAACGCCTTTTGAGATAGTCTATGGCCGTCCTCCCCCTACAGTTCTCCAACACCTACCAGGGGAAGTAAGGGTCGAGGAGGTGTCACTCCAACTTCAAGACCGGGATGAGATCATTCGCCAACTGAAATTCAACCTTACAAAGGCTCAGCACTTGATGACTAAGTATGCCAACCGCCATAGGTGAGATGTGCACTTTCAGGTTGGCGACAAGGTATTCCTTAAAATCAGGCCCTATAGGCAGCAATCAGTTTCCGCAAGGGTTAATGCTAAACTTGCAGCGCGCTATTACGGCCCCTTCGAGGTTGTTGCTAGGGTGGGAGCCTTCGCATACAAGCTGCTCCTGCCGCCATCCTCCCGAATACACCTGGTCTTCCATGTATCTCAGTTGAAAAGAGTCGTGGGGGAGCACAAAGTGGTCACCGAACTGCCCGAACAGCTGCAAGATGTTGGAGAACCTGTCGTGGAACCTATTGCCATATTGCAAACCCACCATGTCATTAAATACCATACCAACGTCAAACAGTTCCTTGTTCACTGCACAGGTCACTTAGCTGAAGAATCCACTTGGGTAGATGCATCTGACTTCATTGGGCAATTTCCATGTTACAACCTTGAGGACAAGGCTGTTAATTCAGGGGGAAGTATTGATGGAAACGAGCCCAGGCCCTTTAAAGTTTACTCAAGGAGGCCAAAGGCTGCTGCTTGTTTGGTTAGTGATCCAAGAAATCAGAGGAATGATTCAAGGAATGAAAAAGGGACACCTGTCACAGTCAGTTATGATAGGAGTACCAACACAGCATAAAAAGGGAAAAGAAATCAGAGGAATGATTCAAGGGAATTGAAAAAGGACACCTGTTTCACAGTCCAGTTATGATAGGAGTACCAACACAGCCATAAAAAGGGAAGCAAGGGAACCCCCAAGGCTGGGGCATCTTTTTGGATTAGAAGTTTTCGAGCAGGATTCTGTTTGGGAGAGCTTTTGCTCTTGCTTTCGAGCAGAGAATTCTGTTGGAGAGCTTTTGCTCTTGGCTTGGTTCTTTTGAATCAAGATTTCCTTTTATTTTGTTCTAAATTATTTTTTTTTCTCCATTGTTGCTACTAAGATTGCTGTAACCACGATTCTGCTATTTGTGGATTTCATCTCACCATTAATACAAAATCTTCCTTTCATTCATACTTGTCTATAAATATTTATTTATTTTCAAGAGCTGGTTGTTCTTTCCTCTATTATACATGCAGTCATCATACCTTATAATGCTACTGGCTATTCATTTGTGTTCTACAGGAAATTTAAGATTTTCATCAAAATAATTTTGCCTGTTGTAGATTGTCAAACAATATTATGGAAGAAGGGAGATATCTGAGGAAGATTTAGAAAGAGCTTTGCTTGTTGGCATGAGTCCTCATGAGAGAAGACGATTTGAGAAGAAGAGGGGATTGTCTTCAAAACATTCTCTTGGTAATATCCTTCCAAATAACAAGCAGATGAACAATGTGGTTTCTGTGGTCAAATCTACCATTGAGAACACACCTAAAATTGATACTCTAGGTGGTTCTCAAACTACTGAAGATCAAGACTATTTCACAACAGCAGTCACTGATACAACTGTCTGTTCTGATCTACAATCTGCTACAATTTACAAGGACACAAATTCAGATGACACCGAAATTTCTGATGAAAAAGAAATTCATACTGGAAATGTTGATGATAATTGTGAAGGAAGTCCACCTAAGGAAATAGTTGACTCAAATTATCCTAGACACAACGGAAGTGCTTTGCCTAAAAATTCGAAGCTATCTCTGTTAGGACATGGACCACATGGAAAGCAAGTTGTGGATCATATACTGAAAGAATATGGAGAGGAAGGAATCCGTGAATTTTGTCAAAGATGGAGACAAGTTTTTGTTGAAGCAACTCATCCTCGTTTCCTACCTGCTGGTTGGGATATAATGCACAGATACGTTGCCTCATTATGCTTTCTACAATGCTTTCAGTAAGATGCATCTCATTAATTCATGGTCAATCCATGTTTACAAGATTAGGCTGCCCCAGATCTTTGGGTATCTCTTTGGATATAAGATCCCTGATACAATACCTTGAGAAGCCAAGGCAACCACCTTAATTTCGCTGTCATTGAACCCATATTTGATTGCAGCATAATCATTAAACATTAATTTGCATCTGCAAATCATTCACTTACTTTTTATTTTAGTAAATCAGTAATCCTAGATTTTGGCAGAATTTCAATTGACATGACAAGTAAAATCTTTCTAATTAGTTCTAAAGCTATTGATTTTCCATACCATGTTGTTGGTTTAAAAAAATTCGGTTAGATCTGTCCAAAAATTTAGCATAATAAAGTCAAAGTGGAGTATTTTATTAATTCAAGTTAAGCTATGATGACCATATACTGAAATTCTTGATAAATTCAATAAGAGAGAAGAAAAATTGGTTGTCTATTTTGCCAAACTCTTCTAAAACTATTAAGACGTCTGTAAGAACCCTTAAGTGCCATGCCCAGTAATGTCTTCAATGTAGCGAGAATCGTGTAGTCATCACTTTAAATTTGTGCATGATGAGTCATTTTCTCTGGAGACCATGTCCAGGCTCGCACCTAGGGACCAGTGTATCATAAAGTTTGTTTCACGTGCCATGTTTTCTTATGAATATCAACAAGTAGTAGTCTAATTTTCTTCATTGACTTTCACATTTTTAGTAACTGAACTTGTGTTTACTTCTCCAAAGGATTTGATTGTGAGCGCTATTTTTGCCAGTGGCAGAAGGGACTTTGGTGAGTTCAGTGTGTACAATCCAGCCAAGAAAGCATCTACCGTGAAGACATAATGTATAAACTCCCCAGTTACTGCATATGTTGTAAGATCTTGTACTCTTGAGTTATGTTGTTGTATTTTTTTACCCCGTTTCCGCAATTTATATTAACTTAACAAGGCCAGAGTCAAATTTTTGGTTTTTAATTTTTGAATTAGAATCAGTGTACTCCAAATTACAAATGGTACAATGCGCAGGCAGTCATATGGCTATTTTGTTTTTTGTTCTCTTCCCCCACTCTTGTATTTTCTGTAAGAGGTTTCGGCTCAGAACCAAGCCAATTATCTCCATGGAGCACTATCGCTTCATAGATTTTGACTATTCATTTTATGCAATGAATTTTGGTAGGAAACCAAATAGAATAGCAAAGTAGTGAGGTAGTCTTACTCAAAAAGCAATGAATTAGCAAAACTTCTTATCATGTAATGGAAAATCTTCAGCTATTATTTTCTTTAGGCTTCGTTTGGCTGGGCTGAGCTAGACTTAGTAAATTGAAGGCAAGGCAACACAAGTTATACTAAAGTAAGACAATGCTCTTTTTTGAGTTTGAGAAGAATGCAAGGTAAACGAAGGTTGAATAATCCTATTTTATTTGGTTTGAAGGCAGTGTTGTTGGAATCAGATCAAACCAGGTGGCTGTCTGGTTCAGAAATTGGCTCGGTTTTTGAGGAAAAAACTGGGTTTTTTGAAAAAAGTTGGATTGGACCTTTAATAAATAAAAACCAGAAAAGAAGTGGGTTTTGATGATGAGTCAGCTGTAAGTCGGTTGGCGAGTCCCTGATTATCCCAGTAAGCAAGGGCGAAGCGAAGACTTGAAAGCTGTGGATAGACGGTTCTTTTTGGCCGAACAAGACTTGAAGACGAAGTCTTCTCCCGATTGACTATCTTGTTGGGGAGGCGCTGGAACGCGTTCTTCCATAACCAAGATCTTCCCTTTCTCACAGCATTTTCAGAGCAGGCCGGAGTAAGGAAACTGAAAAACCAGATTTTTGGTAAAATATGATGTTGATTTAAAAAAAGGTGGTGTTATTTTTATGTATATTTGGCATGGTTCGTGTATTTGAGAAAATTAATTTGTATCTTTGAGGAACCTAAAATTGAACTTTCAACTTGGATTGAATGTGAATTAAATTTATGAATATTTAATTATTATTTTGTTATATAAATTTAGTAATATGTTAATTTATTATATAGAATGAATATTTGATGAGAATGATATATTATATATGTTAACTATTGTGAAAATAATTTTTGTTACAATTAGAATATATATAAATATTAAAAAAATAGAAAATTCAGTTGAATCGATCCAACCTTAGCTCAGCATGGCATCGGTTCCATTGTCAGTCCAGTTATGACAACATTGTTTGAAGGTATATAAATGTAATTTTAAACACGAGGATTACAAAAATAGCCCTTTCACAAAATGCGTTAATCTGTAAATAAGAATTGATTAGAATTATTTTTTAAATAAAATATTTATTTATAGATATTAAGTACCTAAACTATGCAAGAAGATGAAAAAAGCAAAGGAAAAAAAAAAATGCAATAGGGTTTTTTGGGATTTTTTTAGAAAAATAAACATGGATAATATAAAAACTCTCCAAAACATTTAACTTTTTTTCAACCTAATTCGGTTGGTTGAGAAATTGAGAGTTAGGGTGTTTTCAATGACTCAAATTACCATAAAAACTCTCTACTCTCGCAAATTTCATTCCCAAACAACACAAACAATTAAATAATATAAATTATAATAACAGAGTACCTACAATAAAATAAAACAATAATGATGACTTTCTCATAGAAAATAATAATTTTCTATTATAAGATAAATAACGATAAAAAAATGGATATTAATAGGAATATCAGTTTTCTTAAGATCGTGTCACAAGTTATCAACAACCCAAGAAAGGTTACTAACATGAAGCCGAATAGCAGCATCAAAGCTTCCACCAATTTTGGCCAAAAGGAAGATTCCCTTTGCAGAGGTCCAGAATTCACCCTCACCTCGAGTTCCTGCAGTTATTGTAAACTCTCGCTTAGATACATTGACCAAATTCATGAAATATAACCTTATCATAAACACAGGAGAAAATGACCTCATTCGATTAAATAACCAAACTCGAAATTGATTTTTAGCCCCCATACAACCAAGATCTACAAAAAATTGCATGAAGATCAACTTTACATAATACTTTAATTTGGAAAAGAGCATGTATAATTGATCGGATCCACCGTTGCCTAAGTAACCGGAATTGCTATACTGTGTTTAAGGTTTCAATCACTGTGAACAAGGCAGTTTTCTTATCAAAACTATGCTATTCGCTGTGATCGACAATCCCACACTCTGATGGCAGCGAATAACAATTTCCATGATGATGGATCGAATTGACGACTACTTACTTTTGATTGAGGATATATACCTTTCCCTGTTATAACTAAGAAGCAAAAGTAATATGGAGATTTATACAAAGCTAAAAATCAATTTAGAGTTACTCAATAGTCCAATAATTGGTGGTACCTCATTGAACGAGACCATTTCCTCTTATAATAAGATTATATTCCATAATTTTGATTAATGCATTTAGGCAAGAGCTTGTTATGACTGCAGTAACTCAATCACCTTTCTTCTCACCGTAGGGAACTATGTCAATCAGCATCTTCTTAGACCTGTTCACGAGTGGCTTTGTGCTGTCTTACCAAGGTTGCCTACTGATGGCACCTTTTGGCAGACAAAGCCTCTTGACTGGTTGAGAGGCAGGCAGACATGTTACTCGGGGCATTGAGGATAAATTTGGACCTCCGCTGCAAAGGGAATCTTCCTTTTCTAGAAGCCAAAAAGCTAGTGGAAGTTTTGATGCTGCTAACCGGCATGTCGTTAACTTTTCTTAGGGTGTTGATAACTCACCACTTGAGAACTTGTTTTGAACACCTGCATAAGAAAACTGTTATTTCCTATTATCCATTTTTTTTATCTCTCTCATAATTTCATTTGATACTGTGTTGACCTATCAATAGCACCATAGAGCTTTTTTTTTCTTTTTCACAATTTTTTTTTTATTATTGAGGTAAGATGGTATCACAGGCTTAGTAGTTTTTCAGCATTACAAAATATCCATTTCCCTAGTCCAATTGTATGCCAAAAAAGAAACTTCACAAAGAAAACTATATATGTTTTGTTTCCATATTCTAACCATGACAATTGGAAATGTGCCTAATAGGTTTACTTTGGTTTTTGCTGCTAATTATAGTTGCACTCTATTTTTAAAATTTTTTACCATTGTACCTCAATTTGCACCCTAAAATAGGTTTGGATATAATACACGCATCAAACACATTATTTGCATACATAAATCACAAAAAACGCACTGCAGAGAAAAGTATAGGCATGTGCAAGAGTATCACCCAAATCAGATTTATCACAATGAAGTGATTCAGAATCATGTACTTATGGAAACTATAAGTGAATAAAATAAACTTTAATACCCTCTTTTGGATGTTAAAGCAAACAATCACTAAGAAGGGTTTATTGCAATTCAACAATGAAATTTTCAGCACCTTTACATCAAGCTACTTTGGGGCATATCATATGGCTCTACCGTTGAAACACCATAAGACAAAATTCAGTTTCTGGTGCCCTAACAAAAGCCAACACAGCTCATTTATAAGCAATACTTTATCAACCAAAATAAAATATTTAAAGAGAGGATAGGAAATTTAATTTTATCATATGAGCATTCTCAAAACTAACCTATTTTTCAATTTATCATAATGCAGATCCACCATCCCTTGTTTTCCCAAGCATTGCATCCTCTGCTTCGTTGATTTTAGAAGTAAGATAGTGGCCACTACCAGAGACAGGATGATTCCCTATCATTAGTTTTTTATATGCTTCCTTTACCTTCTCTACTGTTGCATTCTCCCTGTTTAACAATATTTTATAGGGACAGAACAACTTAGTTCTAAGAAAGAAACAGAAAAGCAAAAGCCAAACAGTATCATTACAAAGATTTTGGTAAACTATGTAATTGTCCTTGACTATCATCTATACTAAAACATAAAACAGATCCTCTCATTTGACATTCTGCAATGAAGTGAAATTCAATACTGAAAAAATGAACTTTTACTACAGTAGAAACTTCTCGATTTGAAGTATAAACTATTCTTGCTCAATCCTCAATGTGCTTATTTGCCTTTGTCATTCAAAGGGCCCCTTAGCAAGGGCATCACACATGTTGCAAAACCATTGAAGAATGTTTCTAAGGAATACTCCAGTGGTTATTGAGATTTCCATCAGGAGGTCTCAGGTTCCAATTCTAGGTGCAACAGAAGGGGTTATGAAAACAGGCAAAGCTACTTGTTAGTTCATTCCAATTCCAATTCCAATATACCAAAAATAGAACTATTGAAGAATAAAAGAGAAGGAAATGTTATTTTCCTTTTAAATTTTAATAGAACAAGTACTCTTCTAAAATTTAAATTGACAGATCATACATCAGCTTTGAAACACATATATCCGGCATCAGCGACAACAACAAACAGAACTAACTTACACAATTCCCAACTTAAGTCTTAAACAGACAGTCAAACCAAAATTCTTCCAATAATTAATTTCCAATTCTAATAATCAATTTCTGTCCCATGATAATCCAATAATCTGAGGAATAAATGACTTTTCAATCAATTAAGACTGAACTGCTGAATAAAAGCATCGTCCACGTCTAATCTAGTTGAATCTAAGCCGCCAAACATCAATTAATTAAGCCACTAAAATTATTATGTCAAGTATATACAAATAACCACAAAGAGTAACATAATAATTTTTAATTTAATCACCTAGCAAAGAATTAGAGCTGCTCCTCTTCTTGCCATCTTTGGATGCAAACCAACCTCACAGAACTTGTGAAGCTTAGATTTAGGAGGTCTCACCTTGATTTGATATCTATCAGTAACAGCTGCTGCTGCAACTGCAAGCCTGGCCAAAAGGGGTGTGGCTTGATTTTTACATTTAGAATTTCAGTAATTGTATATCGCCATTCTCTATCTATGATTATTAATTATTAAACATAAGAAGAAATGAATTTCAAATATATACAGATCAGAATATTGACTTAAATATAATGATAATTGTTTTGCATACCATTTTTGTTAGATTGAAGACTTTTAAGAGAGGATTTTTCGAGGTTCCATTAAATTTTTGTTTGAAATCTTTTTACTTTATTTGGGTTTTTGTGATTAAAGAAGTACCGGAATGCAGATTCACCATCACTTGTTTTCCCCAAGAATCACATCCTCTGATTTGTTGATTTTAGAAGCAAGGAAATGGCTACACCATCATCATCATGATTTGTGACCATTATATTTTTATGTGCTTCCTTACCTTGTCCACTGTCATATTCTCCCTGTTAACACCATAAAAAGGGATAGAACAACTTATTCTTACCACAGAAACAAAAAAAGCAAAAATGATCACTACAAAGATGCTACATAAGGTAAATCTTACACAATTATCCTCAAGTATCATCTACATTAAAACATTTAAGCAGTAGCTGTTCTTTCCCCAAACCAATAGTTTGTAAATTCAACTGTGATTATCACCCACCCACCCACCCCCCAATACACCAAAAAAAGCCAAACAACTTGTGTGAAATATAATACTAATGGTTGTAAAAGAATTCTTACCTTAACTCCTTGTTGGATGCAAATAAATCGATGTTAAACATTCTGGGCACCGTCGAGAAACCCAAGGGAGCTCATTATAATAAAGTAGCTCTTGATATACTTTTTCTCCTTTTAACAAGTCCCTCCATCAAACTAATATAGGCAGATTTATTTAAAGCAATGCCTTTCTGGGATGATTCTTGAAAAATTTGCATCGCATCCTTGTATTTCCCTTGAGCACACAGCTCATTGATCTGTTCTGAGAAAGCATTTGAATTTAGATCATATTTTTGAGTCTTCTCGCTGTTCACATTTTCCCCTTTATCCAACAGCAAGGTCTGACCCTGCAACTCTCCCATTTCTACAATTTTTAACAGGAACTCCTCAGCCTCCTTAACCCTACCTGCATCAGCAAGTGCACCCAGAATTCCATTATATGTATAGGAATCAGGCCCTAGCTTCTTTCCTTTCATTTCTTCAAGAAGATCAAATGCTTCCTCAAATCTGCCTTCTCTGCAAAGACCCGATAATATTGTGTTGTATGTAACTGCATCAATTTGTTTCCCTTTTGAAATCCATGTATTGAAGAACTTAAGAGCCTTTTCAAGCATACCTTCTTTACATAACTCAAAAAGAAGAATGTTACAAGTATATATATCTGGCTTCAAAGAATTTTCAACCATTTTGTTGTAAAATTGAAATGCTTTCTCGATTTCACGTTCACGACAGTATCCATTAATAATTGTATTATATGTTGTTTCATCTGGGACCAAACCACTTTCTAGAAGCTCATTCAACTTGTCAATTGCTTGATCAGTCTTTCCCAATTGGCATAATCCTCCGATCATAGAGTTATAGGTGATAATACTTGGGATGATCTGTTTCTCCTTCATCTCACACCAAAGCTTTAAAGCTTTAGTTGAATTTTTATCTTTAAAATATCCCATGATCAAAGTGCCATAGCTAACCTCATCAACAAAATAGCCTCGCCTGCTAGCACTACTAAGCAACCTGTATGCTTCATCAAGTTTCTTTTCCTCACAAAGAGTATAAAGAATGGTATTAAGAGTCACACTACTCATCTTCAAACCTTTTCTCCCCATTTCATCCATCATCCTAAATGCTTCACCAAGCTTCCCCGCTTTACAATATGCATTGATCAAAGTATTATATGTAACAGTATCAGGTGAAAATCCATCTTCTTCCATCTTCCTAATTGTTTTTCCAGCGTCATCCATCTTTCCTTCCTTCACATACCACTTAACTAGTATGTTGTGTGTAATTGCATTTGGCTTCACTCCCTTCCCCTCCATCTCTTGAATCAATCCAAATGCCCTTGAACTACTGCCACACTCAAAGCACCCATTAATCAATGTGTTATAAGTAATGACATCAGGAAACAACTTCAAATTCTCCATCTCATCTCTTAACCCAAACGCTTCATCAATCCTACCTTCTTTACAAAATCCACCAATCAACATATTATAAGTCCAGACATCAGGCAACACATTATTCTGCGACATTAATTCAATGACTCGAGTTGCTTCCTTCAACCAACCCAACTTACAATACCCACAAACCAAAATATTAAAAGTACTCTTATTCGGAGTCAATCCCTTGTTTTTCATATCCAACAACATATCCCTAGCCTCATTCAACTTCCCTTTCTTACACAAAACATCCAAAATTGTATTATAACTAACATTATCAGGCAAACAACCAAACTCCTTCATTTTACCTATAAGACCAATTGCCTCCCCCAACTTGCTCTCCAAGCAACACCCATAAATTAAAATATTAAAAGTACTGGTATTAACCTTAACACCAAGTTTAATCACATCATTAAAAATATCTTTTGCCAAACAAACAGAATGCTTAGAAGGATACTTAACCAATGCGTTAAGAAGAGTATTACAAGTAAGCAAGTTAGGTGTGAGATGCAACCTCTTCATCTTATGAAAAATTTCTGCAGCATGGTGGGGTTTACCAGAGGCAACATAGGCCCCAATTGAAGTATCGAGGAGGGATTTCAAGGTGCGACGGTTCTCTACCACTGCAGGAGGGTGGAGGATGTGATGGTGTAGGATGTTGGACTTGTCGTTGGCGATGAAGGAGGTGAGAAGAGATTTGGCATCAGAGAATTTGTGATGAGAGAGGAGAGGAGAGAGAAGGGAAAGGAGAGGGAGAGGAGAGTGAGAAATAGAGGGAGGGAGGTGAGATTGCATCCATTTGAAGAAGGAGAGGAGAGTAGTGGGTCGGTGAGAAAGCGATTTGGAAGAGAGGAGAGAAATAAGAAGATTAGGGTTTGAAGAGAAATTGGGAATATAGGGACGAAGTGCTTGGAGTGGGAATTTATCTGAAGTTAAGATTTTTGTTAGAGACTTTAGAAGCTGTGTTTCCGCCATTGTTTGCAGGTTTGGGATATTTTCTGGTGGTCCTGCCATGATTATGTTCAGCTAGTGAGTAATGAGCTACAACTTATAGTTGCAAGAAGATGGAAGAAAATCTCTGCATGTTTGAAAAAAAAATGTTAGCTTTATGCTATAAACAATATTTAAATTTTTGTGATTGATAATTTTAAAAGAGTTCTATTTGGTTTCAATAATTATTGTCCCAGGTGATATGTGAAAAGGCATCACTATGTAACTGAAAATATTCACTATCTTATTGGTGAAAATATTCATGCAACTTATATATCACAACTCAAATAAATTTTAATCCAAAAACTCAAATAAATTTTAACCCAAAAACTCAAACTTGTAACTGAAAGCACTATCTACAAAATTTGAAATAACCATTTAGGAATTTCAAAACACTGTGACAGCTTACTAATGAAGATCATAAAATTTGATTTGATATTGAGCTTAATTTGTGTTATAAAAAAATAGAAAATAAAAAAATAAATCAACTAATTGCATAATAACTAGAGTATACCAAAGAAAAAATGCATACAATCAGTAGAAAATAATAAACAAAGCAATTTACATCTTTGTTTTATCAAATAATAAGCAAAGCGTACAAAAACGAAGCCTTAATCTCAAACTAGTTGGGGTTAGCTTTGTTTCCATTTGGCTCTGTTCAATTAATAGCAATAATAAGTAAAACATAAAATTGAAAGATCAAAATCATTTGCTTTATTAAGGGCTAAACCGTGCCCGATACCCCAAAGTCTGCAACTTGTAACAATTGCACCCTAAAGTAAACTTAACCCTCCAGATGCCCCAATTTCAAAACTTTGTAAAAATTGCACCCTAATTACAAACTCAATCAAGATTCGTATTAAAATATAACAAACGTGGGACCCACTATAGTTAACTCACCGTTTTGTTGTTGCAACAAACTCAAACCTGATTCATCTAAAACCCAACCCCAAATATATCTCTCTCTCTCTCTCTTTAGCTTTTGGCTCTGTTCAATTAATAGCAATAATAAGTAAAACATAAAATTGAAAGATCAAAATCATTTGCTTTATTAAGGGCTAAACCATACCCGATACCCCAAAGTTTGCAATTTGTAACAATTGCACCCTAAACTGAACTTAATCCTCCAAACGCCTCAATTTCAAACCTTTTTGTAAAAATTGCACCCTAATTACAAACTCAATCAAAATTCGCATTAAAATATAACAAACGTGGGACCCACTATAGTTAACTCACCGTTTTGTTGTTGGAACAAACTCAACCCTAATTCATCTAAAACCCAACAAACTCAACCCTACCCGGTCATAAAGCACAAAGCCGAAAAGGAAGGCAACAGAAGACTACAATATATCTCTCTCTCTACTCGGTCATAAAGCAAAAGCCAAAAAGGAAGGCAACAGAAGACTACAATATAATCATAAAACTAGTGGCAAAAACCAAACATCCTCCTCACCAAATAACATCAAAATCTAGCAATTCAAGTCAGTAATTTAGTTGGTGATCCTCCTACGAACAAAGAATCAATGACCAAAAAAGAAAAAAAAAAAAGGGAAAAATAAAATCTACAATTATCTTAGGACTAAAAGGATGGAGTCTCAAACATGACAAAGCATCAATAAAAAAAAGCATTGCAAGTTTTCAACAGCTCTTTCCCACCAAGATTTGCTTAAAAACTATATTTTACCTTAAGACCTTGTGGCAAATATTGAACATCCTTTTAGTTTTTGTTGTAAAAATCTTCTCCAACAGCAACCCAAAAAAGTTCACCAAGCAAATACATTTATAGGACCATCTTTATGCATAGTACATGTACAAGCTGTTTGCAGCAGCACAGGCGATTGAGTTTTGGTTGGGAACCATCTAGATGCAGCAATTTTTCTTATTACCCTAGCTCTTATTCTTTCTTTTTGCTTTTGTTTTGTCTTTTATTACAAGGCGTTAATTAATCAATGAGTTTAAGATTATAAGGTACCTTCCTCTACATTTTATGGGTCGAAAAGCTGGTTCTGATAAATCCAAGTGTGTATTACCGAGAATGGTAGCCTATGCTAGAGAAGAGTCACTTTTAATGGAGGAAAGACCCATGGTAGAGAGATAGAACGCGACACACAGAGAGAGAGAGAGAGAGATGGGTTTTAGATGAATTAGGGTTGAGTTTGTTGCAACAACAAAATGTTAAGTTTAGATGATTCTAACCTGAGTTGGGTTAGTTTACTATAGTGGGTCCCACTTTTATTATATTTTAATGTCAATTTTGACTGAGTTTGTAATTAGGTGCAATTTTTACAAAGGTTTCAAATTGAAGTATTAGAGAAATTAAGTTCAATTTAAGGTGCAAATGTTACAAGTCGTAAACTTTGGGGTATCGGGTATGGTTTAACCCTTTATTAAGTAATGAACAAAGCATAAGATTGAGAAAATCATATTCATTCAAAACTTAAAACTAAACATTACAATTAATTTTGGGAATTAATTTAATTACAATTCTCAAAAATAATATTAATATAATGATTTAATTTAATTATAGTCCAAAAAGCATAAGACTTTGCTTTGCATTGATAATCAGAGTGAATATTGGAAACAAAGGATTCATACAACCGACCCCACCTAATTTGGGAATTTGGGACTAAAGCTCAGTTGTTGTTATGTAGTCTAAAAAGTCAAATTCCAAAGTTCCCAACAAAATTTGGAACATCAAGATTTTCTTACTCCTTCCATTCTTTCCTAATGAATTTCATACATTTCCTTCATCAAATCTATTATATACAGCAAACAACAGAACATTGCACCTAAAGTAAACAACAAACAAAAAAAAAAAAAAAAAAAAGCAAGTTGTTGTTGTAGTCTAAAGTCAAACATTCACAAAGTTCCCAAACAAATTGGAACATCAAGATTTTCTTACTCCTTCCATTCTTTCCTAATGAATTTTCATACATTTCCTTATCAAATCTATTATATACAGCAAACAACAGAAACAAATTCAACCTAAAGTAAACAACAAAAAAAAAAAAAAAAAAAAAAAAGTTGTGCCTATATTAAATAAACAAAACATTGCACTTAATATTCTACTCAAATACTGATTCTCTTTCAATCCAAATATATACCTTGTGACACAAAATTTCAGAAGAACCAAACTAAATATTGACATCCATAGTCAAAATGTTAACTCAAAACAAAACAAACAACTCATATCTTAGACATACAACAATTATTCAAAAAAAGAAGAAACTAGAAACAGAAATTCTAAAATTTTGACTATTTTTATGATTCTCAAGATTGTGTTTTTGTCAAACAAACTGGATAATAGAATTATGGTTGCACCAGAGGACAGTCTACGAGGGGAATAAAGTACCTTATTATTAGTTAGGAGTTCGTTACAGTACAAAAATTGGAGAAAACAACAGAAAGCAGAATTCTTTTTGGAAAGGTGATTAATTTAACAGCACTAAGTAAAAGAATTAACAGAAAGAATTCAATATAAATTGGAAAGACAGATTCATCCTGAGATCTGCATGCCATCCAACAAAAACTCAAAACTGTTTTTTCAAAAAGAAAAAGAAAGGAAAAACAGTATTGTCGCTGTAATATATATAAATACAAATAAAACAATGCAAGGTCACTATTCTATCATATTTATTTTTGAGATCAATATTCAAACTCTTTTTGCTTATAAACATCCATTTTAGACATTAGCAACTTTCTTGTGCTTAACTTACCGCCTAGAATGCTCCATGCTCAATTAATTTGAGACAGGGCACAAATTTTGAAAAGAGTATTAAATATTAATGGAGTTGAGTTTCTATGTATTATGTTTAAATTCATTGCTTAGATAAAAAGATCAGCAGATTATGGTTTTGAATAGAAAATCGAAACAGGTCAACTCACTAACAATAGATTAATAATTTATTTGTACCAAGATGGACTCATGAATTTCAAGGTTTTAAATATGCACCTTACAAATGGCTCCAAGGATCAATGCCTTTTGCTCTCTTTTTTCTCATGACTTATTGATTAAAAAATTTTATAGACATACATATCTCAGCCTAAACATTTCAGGAGAAATTCAATGTCTTAGTGCCTGGTTAGGCATAGTGTGAACATCACAAAGCATCTCCAATAAAGAATTCAATAAGGTGTAACTCTCTCAGTTAAAACTAAGTAGTGCTTACAAACTGCTGTTTGAGAAGAAGAGGCAACAAGAAATGAAAGGCAAAGATCATTATTTCATATATGACCTAGGAACTGAAATAAATTCAATAAATGAATCTTGGCAATGTTTTCCTGTTTCTAATTGTTTGTGTATAATTGATTTCAACAACTTAAAACTACTTCATTTTAACTTTTTGTTTCTAACTCCTAGACTGTAGAAACTGAAAAAAAAAAAAAAGAAAGAAAAAGAAAAAGAAAAGGAGAGATGAATAACCCTCACAATTCCCTAGTTTCTGCATTCTAAATAAGAGTCTAAAAACAGATTTGGGAGTGTGTTGGTGGATATAAGATAAGGTACTGTTATAAGTATGTTAATTTGTTGCAGTATGTTCTTTTTCATTTTTGTTTATAATTCAATCCAGAAATTTTTATTTTTATGACAATACAAGCTAATCCAGTATTTTTATGAAACTAACAGAATTTTATTTCATGAAAATGAAAGAAAGAGAAGTGCATATGGGAGGGAAAGAAAAGGACATTGCAGTAAATACATATCCAAAAACAATATCAGAACTGCATTAAAAGTTAACAATTCCATGAACAGAAGCAAAAAAAACATAAAAACATAAGATCAAATAGGTAAGGCATGAAAGAACTTGAGTAAATAATCTTTTTAGAATTATCATCTATTACCCATTGCAAATGTCAGTTCAGAGTCACACTAGTACGCTAAATACAATAGCAAAACCCTAAGAAATTTCCCAAATCAACAGTGAAAAGGGAAAACAAAAAACAACATGTTTTCATGACAGAGCGGTTTCATTTGATTACAGCTTTAACAAAGGGAATAAAAAGGACAATTAAGCTTTAACAAAAAGAAAAATAAAAAGGATAATTAAGCTTTAACAATAGCAGAATACCTTGCGACTGCACTTGCGAGGCACAGAGGTCATCTAGCACAGAGCTTGATCTGGAGAGGGCCACCCGTTGTCATCAGATTCAATCTTTGGATAAAAGTCAATAGGCAAAACTACGATGAGTGATGAGGCAACAAAAAAGAAAAAGCGCTTTGGTAGAGGAAGACAGAATGAGCTTTGTTTGAATCGAACACCATACATGAAAACCCAAGTTGTTTTGATTTTTGTTTTTTTAATGGCTTTGATTAGGGATGAAGGTGGCGCTGCTAGCCGCAATATATCTGCCATATCGACAGCCATATTTGCGTAGAGCAACTCCAAACGCAAAATGCATCTGTCGCGTTGATTTATTTACGACGTCTGTAAAATTAAATGTTAAAAATAAAAATTTTTTTCAATATCATTATTTATTTAATCTATGAATTTCACGTGTTAAAAAGAAAAAGAGATATTGTTTACGGTCTACCGCACTCTTTTAGAACAACTCCAATGTGATTATGGGTTGTAGCTTATATGGCATTTTGAATAAAAAGATGTTAACAGTGATGTGACTATAAATCTATTTGTGAATATTGAATTTGAAAAATGGTTCTTCAGTCTATTCTAATCAAAATAGAATTTTATAATGATGTGTATTTTTTTTTAAATTGTATCTAATTAAAATAAAAGAAAATAAATTGAGCCTGAAAAAAGATGGTGGAAAAAAGAAAATAAAATTAATAGTAAAAAAAGAATTAAATAGTTGAATCACATTGTCTAACAGACTTTTTAAAAAATAGAGGGTGTGGTTTACAGTGTGAACTTTTTTTTTTTACATGTCAGCTTAACAGATTGAATAGATAGTAGTATTAGAAAAGATATTATTGTTCAACTGTGATTTGGCAATTAGATAAGCCACAATCCATAATCCCGTTAGAGTTACTCTTATTTTCAGAGGGTCTATTAGACAGCGTGACTTAGTTTTTTATTTTCCTATTTATTCATTTTTTTCTTATTTTTTTATTTTCTTCTTGCACTGAAACTGATTTATTCTTAATGCATTGGAGAACCTTTTTTTTTTTTTTTTTAATATTATTTAATATTAACTAACTTTTTGCATGTATTTTTTTTTTTTGAATAATAATGGAAATTTCATTAGTCATCCAACCTCAAAGCTTGTTCAATACAAAAGGGTGGAATAGTCAACTCCTCCACCTGATCTGTCACAGAATAAGATGCTCTAGCTAACACATGAGCAACCTTATTAGCAGACCGACAAACAAAAAAGATGCTTACACTCACAATCTCAGAAATAAGACTCTTACAATCTAACACTAGAGAACCAAATGCAGAATCATCCTCATATAGAGGGTCAACCAAAGCCTGCACACAAATTTGAGAGTCTGACTCAATAATCACGTTGGACCAACTCTGCCTTTTAATCCAACTTAATGCTTCCCTAATCATAAATGGCATCAAATGCCGAGCATGCTCAATCAATACAAATAAAAATCAAATCTCGCATCAAATTCACGCCAAGTAATATTAGAGCCCAAATCCAATATTCTAATTCTTAATTCATAATACTCTCCATAAACTTGTTAAATATTCTTTAGTCTTCCTTAAATTCATAATGTAAGCTTACTTTAGAACATAAGTAACTCAATCGAAATTTTTAACAATCGAAAATTTTCATATGAAATCATACATGTAAGCTTACTGTTGAACTTAAGTGACTCATGAAAACTTCATACTTAAACATAATTACTTAATATAGGAAATTTCTCATAAATTCCTTTTCGTTTAAAACTTGCTTAAAGTCATAATGAAATTTATCATAAGAAACTTCTTATCATATAAAATCATATTTTCCTTGTTCAAAATTCAAAGCACATACACCTTAAATACCCATGTTTTTAGAACTCTAAATATATGAAAGTTATCAAAATAATTATACTTATGTCATATAGATATAGATAGCATACCATACAAAAAAAAAAAAAAAAAAAAAAACAAATAATAATTAAGTAAGCCTTACCACCCTAGAGTGGTTTGGCCTCTTAATGAAAACTAAGGGGAGGAATTTTCTTCTCCAACTAAGCATACTAATATAACTCTTATGCACCAAGGTATCCATTTTCTATCCTCATCATGCATTATCTAAACTAATGCCACACTTTATCCTAAAATTTCCAACAATTTGTCCCATTTATATTCATTGAAAATATATCCACAATAACACTTTTCAAACTTATATCTTAGTTTTGTCAAATAAATCCTCAAACATACAAATAATCAAGAGAACCTCATCACACATGACTCATCACACATGATTCATACATACATTTATATCCAAATAAAACTAAGGATTCGATGCATGATGAAATTTCCAGCATTAAAATAACCTTGACCCTTTTGCTGTGTTTTTAAGACCTAACTTGAGTTTAGGTCTCCAAATTGAAATGAAAATTAATTCATTAGAAAGGCTAAGACAAGATGCTAACAAATGTTATGAAGGGACCACAAACCCAGATCAATGTGTAAGATGAATAAACAAGCTAGAAACAATGACCAACAGTCCAGACCCGATTTCAGCAGAACTAAGTTCAATGTTTATTATTCCTATTCACCAAACAATCTCAAATTAAAACCAATCCAAAACCAGGGGAAGTTCTCAAACCCAGGGCAACAACTTCTCGTGAAAGAACTAGAACATAATCTTGTATCAGTGGGCAAAATGGCACTCATTCAGTGATGCAAATGTGGTCCGACATAACAGATCAGTTTGGGTGTTTCAATCATAAGTTGAGCTATATATCTCCCAAAATTGGACACAAGAGGATGGGTTGGAAAGCTAAGAAGTAGACCTTATAACTCTATGAAGGATCGGAAAACTACGAAAGGATC